GACAGATGGCTCTGATGTCACAGCGCTCACGTTGCAGTCAGAGCCTTGCTGTGTTTGAAACACTCTCGCTGTAACCTCCAGAGCGTTTCCTTCAGTTTCTGGTGTTTCAGAGTTACTGGAGTGAGTCACTGTGTGTTTGGAGGATGACTGCAGGGAGGCCTGGGAAACCAGACCAAGAGCAAATAGTCACGATGTCTTTGTCTCTGCTATTGGAAATATTGACATTCCCTGTGTTTGACCTCCTGTCACAGCTGAGTCAGGATAGAGCCGCTGTAGTGTCTCCAGTGAGATTTTATGAGCGCTGACTGCTGTAAACCACACAATGAGGGAAACATGCATGTGTCTGTGTGAAAAAAACTGAATTGTTATATTTTTGTTTGATTACTTTTTAAAAGATTGATTAAATTGTTATTGTTTTTCATATGATTTCATATGGCCCTGTATTTTTTTTAAGCGTTTAATAAAATGTTGTTTAATTGTGTAAGTTTTATGATTTCAAGAGACCAGAAAATGTTAAAACAGGGAAAAATTACAGAATTTTGGAAAATAAAAAATGGATTTTGGGATATATATATACAGTGGGTACGGAAAGTATTCAGACCCCCTTAAATTTTTCACTCTTTGTTATATTGCAGCCATTTGCTAAAATCATTTAAGTTCATTTTTTTCCTCATTAATGTACACACAGCACCCCATATTGACAGAAAACGTCTCTAGGTTACGTATGTAACCATGGTTCCCCGAGGGAACGAGACGCTGCGTCGAGTCGCTTTGGGAACGCCCTTGCGTGACCGCGTTCTGAAGCACGTGTCAAATCCGTCCAATGGAGCAGCGAGACGTCACGAGCAGGGTGACATAAGCACCAGAAAGCATAAAAGCACATCCGGCCGGGCGCAAACCAGCTTCTGCTCTTCAGTAGCGCTCTGTGTATGTGTCTGTCTATTTACTGTTGTCTGTCCGCACAAGCACTCATATATATAAAACAATGAGAAAGTCTATGGCGAGCGAACGGCATTACAAACGCTGTGTTTCTCCCTGCCCACGATATCTGGCGGCAGGGGATACACACGATGTGTGTGTCGTTTGTTTAGGAGCAGAGCATGC